GACACACAGAGGGGAAGTAACCTACTTGAAATCGCATAGCTGGTATTCTGCAGAGCCAGGATCAAACCTAAGCACTCTACCTCCAGAGCCTGTACACTCTAACGGCATTACGTGATATCTGATACTGTTTCTTTCATTGAAATTATATAATTTCATCGAAATCTTTTATAAAATCAATTTACTATAACCATGTATACACACACACACACACACACACACGCACACGCACACCCACACGCGCACGCGCGCACACCTGAGTTACAAAAAACAAACAAAAAACGATATACCAGCCCCATCTAGTGGCATTGCTAATCTCGGTCTACAGTGCAATACATACAGAGGTGCTCAGTATTAGCACACAAAGTAAATAAAGATTGTTGTCATAAATGTTTGAGAGGGAAGGTCATCAGAGAAATATGACTAAAGATTAGATAAAAGACTTCTGCAATGCCCAGGTAATCTTCAGCTTGAACATGTCCTTTATCTTTTAAATACCAGTAAATTAGGGGTTTTCTCTTTCCACATTCATTCGTTTGTTTATACATTTATGTATTATATATACTTTATACTCTACACACTTTGTATACTCAGCATTGTGCTCGAGCAAAATGATGAATTTAAGAAAATTTATGAGAAAGTCCACATCCTGACAGACTTTTGGGGGAAATAAATGCAAATAATATGGTCATTAAAATCTAGTGTAATAAATGTAAAGATTGAGCCATGCTGGCAGAGAAATAATCAACTTCACTTAGAATTAAAGGAAGGCTCATAAAAGAGATGATAATTCTAATATTTCTACCTTTTCATCAACTGCCAAGTATCATTATTGATCTATTTGCATTTAAACCCTCAAAGTACTGCCACTAAATTAAAATGTCCATAAATGCTACATCTACTACCTATACATTATGTTCATCACATTGTTAATATGTGACTAGTAGCTTTCTATGGCCTACAGAACATATTTTAAAAAGGCTAGAAGGCCTTGATTTAAAATCCAGGCTCCATCAGTTATTTGTTGAATTTTATGAAACTTGCCTCAAACTCTAGTTGCCACAGTTTTCTCATCTATAGAGTGGGGTGGTTACAGTTCTTAATTCATAGGGCTGTTGTAATGAATCATTACAGTTATTCTAATGCTCTGAATCTTGTCTGACAGACAGTAAACAATAAATATGAGTGGTTATTAGTAACATCACACTCTCCTGCCTGACCTGCTTGAATTTCCATTATTAGGATCTTTCACTCTGAACTAGCATGGACATAGGGATACCTGACATCCAAAGTCTCTTTTAAAACACTTAGATTTCAAATCAATTCCGCATTTATTTAGAACTAGCTTATCCCTTTCATACGCACATTCTGTTCTACCCAGACCAACGCCTTCTCTGTTTTTAAATATTGTCTCTTATTGATGTCTCCTATGCTTTGCCTAACTAAATCCCACCTCATCTTTCAAGATTTAGCTCATATCTACATTTTCCATGCACCCTCATTTTATTGATATTATCTCTCTTTTATGAATTTCTATAAGTCTATGAGCCTCAATGCACTTCCCAAAAGAGCCTGACTTTGGCCTTCAATAATATACTAGATTATAGCTTTGCTTAAGTGTGTAAATACTGTTTTATTTTTCCATTTCAGTGATGTTTAGTTGGAGTAAAAGAACAGAAATCCCACCTCCAAACAGGATATCATATTAAACTCACCTGAATAACTTTACAAACTCTTCCTCCCACCTGGAATTCCCACCTGGCCCCCAACCTCAGCCCTATTAAACAAGCATTACTTTATTGCACCAATATTAATGCAGCATGTATAATTTTCCTAAGGTATACTAGTATGGGGGGAAATGCTAAAAATCTACTAAATTAGAAGACATCTGATTCCTTTTAAATAGCTTTTTCAAAAAAGTTTATACTGGAGGGTCCATTAAGAAAAGAAACAGATGTATCCTAGACTTTTAAAACAACAAAGTAACTAACTGGAAATTATTTAAGGAAATCATTCTAAGGGCACAAGTCTTTTCTTATATAAGAGATACCACATTTTGAAATTTTGAAAGGGACATTCAAGTTAAAATAGCTAATATTAATTAAGGCCCATATCTCTTGGTGATGCATATTGAGAATATCATCATTTCAGGAGTCATAATTATTTGCTGAATTAATGGAACATAGGCTTAGTGTTCCTTTGTCACCAAAAGCTGCCCTGGTTCCTGAATTTCCACAGGGACAAAGATCCACAATCCCACACAATTTTGCACCATAAGGCTAATTTAGTGGGGGGTTTTTTGTTTGTTTTGTTTTTTTTAGCTGAGCCATCCTGCCACCTGTTGGCAGCTCAGCTCGGGCCGGGCATGGGACCGCTGTTGCTCAGAGCTCCCCTCTTGAGCAAGCTCTTAACCAACTGAGCCACTTGCCCGGCCCCATAAGGCTAATTTAATATCCATCTTCTCGCCAAATGGATCTTTCAGTCTAACCAGATTGACTTATTAACACAACAAATGCAAACACACAGACACAGGATTACTCCTGACCCCGCACTTTTACCGACTAACTTACCTTCTTGGATGGTGTACACGTCAAGGTTTTCCAGAGAAACGTAACTAAACAGAATATGTACATGTATCTGGACACATTCGCTTGATAGGTGGCGGGAGCCAGACTCCTCCGATGAGTCTGGAACAAACAGCCTGCTCCCTGCGGCACCCAGGTGCTTCCAATCGACAGGAATGCCAGGCAAGTCCCGTAGAACCCCCGAGATCCCACGAGATCGGGCTTCCACCGGGGAGAGTAAAGGGCGGCAGCTGTGCTGCAGGCCAGGTCTGATTCGCGGTTCTCTCAGCTGCTCCTGATTGATGCTCAGTGCATCCCAACCCATCATCCTCTCCCTGCCCCTCCACACACCAAAAAATACATACATACATACATACATACATACATACATACATACATATATACGTACTCTCACTATTTCTCCATTTCTTCTTCTCATATATCTATCTATACTTATCATAGATATAAATATACAGAAGGAGAGATTTTTAAGGAATTAGCTCACGTGATTGTAGAGATCAGAGTGTGGTAGGCTGGCAGACTTGAGACTCAGGGATGAGTCGCCGTTCAGTTCCACAGTCTGTCTGCTGGCAGAAGTCTTCCTTCTTCCATGGAGGTCAGTCTGTTTCTATTGAGGCTTTCAACTGACTACTGAATGAGGCCCACTCACCGTACCGAGAATAATACAGTCAAAGTCTACTGATTTAAATGTTAATCTCATCTAAAAAATACCATCATAGAAACATCTAAAATAATGTTTGACCAAATAGCTGGGTACTATGGCTGTGACCCATAAAATGAACCATCACAAATGGTTTCTCTGTCTCCTATCACAATGCTACTTGTCCTTCCTTGTCTTAAACATATCCCACTCCCCTAATCCTATAAATCTATTCTGATTTCTTAACTGAATTATTTTAACCCTCTTTTATTACTGCTTTAGGATCTTATAATGTAAAAAATAATATTGAGAGTCTTGGAAACTACATTAACTCACACTGTTATGTATGTTATCTCGGGTTTATGCAGTGTGAATCTTGAAAACAGAGACTGTGTTTTATTTCTCCCGCATTTACCACTACGTCTGGGAAACAGTAGTAAATAAATACCTGTTGAGTAACTGCAACCTTTCATTCAAAAGATGTTCAACTCCTGTGTACATGAGAATATAAGCTTTACAAGATCATAAGTTCATATCTGTTTTATTTATTGCTATAGCCCCAGTAACTAGAAGAGTGTCTGGCTCATAATAGGACTTTAACAACTATTTGGTAAAGGACTTAGAAAAAGCCAATGGTAAATAATGAGGGAATTAAGTAGAACATAAGCTCATGAAAGAGGAGGTTTCATGCTTCTTACATATGCTCTTAGCACCTAATACAACTCTGGACATAATTGCTCATTAAATGAATTGCATTGACCCTAGCAAAAATTCAATAGATTCTCTGTATTACCGGTTACCACTATGTGGATGCATGTTTTCATTTGCTGAAAAGGAAAGTTACAGTATAGAAAAGGTGCTGTCAGATTACACTAAATAAAATAAAAATTATAACTATTTTGTTTTTATTCTATTAAAGTGTATTATGCCTCACTGGGATCTTGCACTTGAATTCTATTATTAAACCACCTCAGATCTAAAATATTGCATACATATTTTAAAGTAAAACTGAATATACTCTATACATTTCAGCAAGAAATGATAAATTTTAAACATCTTTCAGATGTTTGTAACTTTACAGAAGATAAATTTAATATATATGTTTTTAAATATTCACTCTAGACTAGTAAAAAAAAGTCAAAATAAAGTTGTCTATTTCATACTTTCGTATCTGTCTTCCAAGGACAAAAATTCAGCATGTTTGTTTTTCTCTAAGAGTGTTTAACTTTCAATATTTTTAATAAATGTATTAATGCGACTATTTGGCTAAAGCACTAAAGTTACTGAAATCATTTACACAAGCTTTTTGGCAATAAGTATAACTAGGAACCCCTTGCTAAGAGAGGCTGCTACAATAATGGAATAAAATAAAATAAAATGCATATTTTATTTAAGGATTAATGTTTCATTAATTCTATACAAAACTAAGTCCTAACTAAAATGTTTTTAGGTTTTAACTTTTATTTATTTTCATAATGGGTCAAAAGAGGGTTGGAGTTGAGATTAAGGAAATAATATTGTTCTATGTTTATGTGACTAAATGTCCACATAGATGACTTCTCATGGAGAGATGTGATTATATCAGCCATTTTCAAACCCTGAAGTCCATCATCTTGTGTGATACATATACATACGTGTGAATCAAAACCAGACTTGTTGTTATGTAAAATGACATAAAAAAGGAAATTTTACTAGAAGACTTTTTGCAGTTATCCTGTTTCTCTTGTAAAATTGGTCCTTGATATAATAAAAGTATTTATTATTTTTTCCCTTCATAGGACCTGATTGGTGACCTGAAAGAGAAGCTTTCAGATCACTTCAAAGATGTTATGGTTGGCCTCATGTACCCACTGCCATCTTATGATGCTCATGAACTCTGGCACGCTATGAAGGTAGTGGTCTGATGCAAAAATATCCCTGTAACAGGTACAGGCTGATATTTCAGCAGAGGGGGAACTGTCCCATGATGTTGCTACATGTAATCAGGGAAGGGGAAGGAATATCTGAACAAAGATAAAACAATGGAAATGCTGTGGTGAGGGAATGTAGCCCTGTTAGGAAGAGGGTGTCTCTAGAGCCCACAGGCTGGGATTAGCCTGTTCTTTGGTTGTACGAACTCAGACTCATTAGTTCAGTTTAGCTACCAAAAGGAAAAAAAGTAAATAAACTTCAAGGGCTATTAAGATTTGTCACTCCCCAATAAGTATTCATATATTAGGGGGAAATGTTATGTCATGTGAACCTCTTTAAATTATCTGTAAAAATTGAGCTCATTAAGTAAAAATAAGATACTGAGTCAGGGAAAAATACATTATAGATGACATCTTTATTTGAATATTTTTCTTATATTAAGTTAGTCCTTCACAAAAATTATTGCTCAAATGTATCAAAATTTTACTTCTGAAAGATTAAAATCATTCTTTCTCACAGCAAAGTCATTTCTATGAAATAAATTGACTACAGATTTGTTAGAGATTTTGTTGGCCAGGGATGGGGGACAAAAGGCTTTTTGCATCTTTCCAAATGTTGATATAAAACACCTTCAGAACTGTTTAAATCAATCCAGTATGATGACTACCAATGACCAGATTACCACAATCTGTGAACAGTGTTTGACAGGAAAGAGGTAAGGAGAAGAAAATTCAGGGAAACTGGATTTTGGTCAACATACATTTGCAAATCAGAATAGCCATTGTATAAAATTTACATGAATTTTAACTAATCGCTTATATTTAAAGTTGCCTAGGTCAGTTCCTACCTCTTGCAAAATTATGTGACTAAAAGCTATAAGAAAGTCGTATGTTACTGTTTAGACAAAACTGTGATATTTTGTCAATATCTGTTAGAATGGTAAGGATTTCTGAAGCTCCCCTGAAAAAGATGTTTGTCTTTAAAACCACTGTTAAAGAAGAATATATGCATATGGTTGTAAGAGACTACAGAAACTACGCAGTCTGAATGTTTAGGCAAGTGGTACAAAATTCTACATCTAGGGAGAGGCAGGGAGAGGTCCCTCAAACATCCTTGAGAAATTAGGAGACTCAGGTTGTAGTTTCAGCTTGCCAAACAATTGATAACTTAGCAGAAAAAAAAATCGGCTTTATAAGCATTGTTTAAACATCTGTTTTTCCACACTAGTTAGTAATGCGTATGCTGTTTTATTCTGAATGAAAGAATAGAGCTTCAGGTAATATTCTCTTCTCACCGTCCAACAGCTGGTAAATAGCAGAGCCAGAACTGAACTGGACCTATCTTGGTCCCAAACACACCTTCTTTCCCCTCTGCCACTTCTCAGAATTCCAGGAATGCTGTATCCCTTTAAGACAACATAAGGTGCACTATTATTCCCAATACAAATGCCTTTATATTTCTATCTTTCTCTGTCTTTCCAGGGGATGGGCACTGAAGAGAATTGCCTCATTGATATATTAGCTTCAAGAACAAATGGAGAAATTTTCCAGATGCGAGAAGCCTACTGTTTTCGTAAGAAAATATACATATGTACATATATCTTACACACATATAAACTTTATATTTTTCAAATAACACACAACATATTCCAGTTTATGTATTTTGATGAATTTTAATGACACTCTTATGTTTCAAATAGCACTCACTCAAGACCAATTAACTCACTAAGCAAAATATATGATTAAAAATAAAACAATTACCCACACAATCAATTAAGCAAAATTTCCAGGAAAATAACTACAAGTTTCTGTCTGGTGAATGTTTACAGTAAGATAGGCAAATGCCCAGCCCAGTGGTTCAGGGACCATTTTATCTCTTACCCAGGAGAGACCAGGTACATAGTCAAAATAAAGCAAAGTGTAATAATCAACGGAATCTACAAATATGGGAATGGCTTCAGTTCACATAAATTTCATAACACTATAATCTAACGCAAAATCAGATATTTACACATTTTAAAAATAGAAAGGTTAATTATTTTCATTTTTAAAAAGGCTTAATGCCGTAAGTTCCATTCCATCATGTATTATGTAACACTGAATGTCAAGAAAATGTTCCAGACAGTCAGCTATATTGCATTTGAACAAAAGTAGGACTTTCTCAAGGGGAATGAAGTAAGAACCTTCACTTAAAATATTAAAATGAGACAAAGCACTTGGAAAAAGCTCTGGGCTGAGCAGCTGTCTATGGAAATAGAATGCCTAATTCTGAATTTTGAGAATCAGAGAACGTAAAATGACTTCTAATGTTGTTTTTCAACTTTGGAATAAAGATAATACTTCTTAAGAAAACAGATCGGTACCTATGTTATTGTTAGGTGTAGGACTGCTTTGGTGAACTGTTTACTGGCTCCATCTGAGTAGAAGGTGGTAAAAGGCAAAGATATATCGCCAACTCATTACATTTCTTGTACTTTTCACTTGCAACTGGAGAAGTAGCATTAACTTATTCAAAGTACATTGCTAGGAGGTTCTATAATAAATCATACCTTTAACATGGATGTTTTCTTCTCCAGAATACAGCAGTAACCTTCAAGAGGACATTTACTCAGTGACTTCAGGACACTTCAGAGATACTCTCATGAACCTGATCCAGGTATGACACTCCAAAATTCACACCATTTTGCACTATTAAAAAAATATATGCATTTATTTTTTTTTAAAAAAGGACAGAATACTCCAGGTTATTCCATTTTAACTGTAAATTCTGTATAATAACATTTATTGAATATCAGCTAAATTCAAAGGATTATAATAGACACATGAGTTGGATATAGAGACAAATATGAGTAATACACCATCTCTGTTAGTGTTTTGCTCTCTTCCTCATTTGAAGTGGATTCACATGTCCAATCAAACATAGGAGGTGTGGTTTCCTGTAATGTGTGTTTAATGTGATTAAAAACTTCATACTCTACACATATTTTCTATGATTTAATTAAAGAATGGATAAATATATTAGCCAGAAGCCAAGTATTAACTCCCCCAGATTGAAGAGAGTAGCAATTTGTGCTGATTAGAGTCCTTCAAATTGTTTAATTGAAATAAGTGGCATAGTAGTAAGCAAATCCATTGAACTTTCCTTTAAAATTTCAAATTTTAAAAACAAAACCAAGAATCTGTTTTTATTGTGTTTGGTTTTGATTTGGTTTGATTTGGATTTGCATAATTTGGTTGCATAGTTCAAAAACTGCCCATATCACCAATTTCAATTAATTAAATTCTATTCTGAGCATTCTAATCTCTAGGATTATAACATTAGTTTATTATTCCAACTATTCTATTACTGCCACTGGCTTGACTATCAAAAAAAAAAAAACATAACCTGAGAGTAGTTTGGGTTTTTTATAGTCCAACTTGAAATTCTGTGTAAAGTGTAGAAATAAGCTTATTTTAATTTGTAAAAGAATTTGAAGTCGTTACAGGAAAAATGTTTTTAAAAAAGTATTGATATTTAAAATTAATCTCACTTAACATGCTAATTGAACATTTTCTAACTTTTAAAAGTCATGAGATTAATTTCAACTAAAACTTTCTCTATTTATAAAGGTCACTATTTTTAAATTTTCATATAATGATGCTATATAATATAAATTAAAATAGCACTTTCCAGTTGGAAATTCATGTTGGTACATGTATTACTCCTAATAGAGGAGTTAGGCAAATAGTCCCATTGTAAATCCATAAGCTGCATTCTATTAACACACAAATTTTTATTTTCTTAATATCCAAATAAAAACTTATTTAATTATTGAAGAAAATATGTTACCTGGTAGGGGGGAAAAATGTATGTATTTCATTAGGACTACTTTGCATTCTATTAGGACTGTGTCGCAATCCAGTTTCTCCTTCTGTCAAATTCTGCTTCTCCTCTCTCTTTCACATAAGTGTTGATCCCAAGCACATTCCATATAAACATGATGCATGCTGATCTCTAGCTCAGAGTCAGCTTCCTAGGGAAACCAACTGGCTGTATCCCTTCCTTGGAGAGATGAGGAAACTGAAGCCCAGAGAGGTTAAATGACTTGCCGAACATGACATATCTACTGAATGAGAGGGCTAATATAAAAATACACCTAATTACCCTATACCTCCATTGTTCAATTTCATTACTCCTACATCCAATTCCATTTGATTCCACTCCAGTTCTACTTCGTTTGGTACAAGGTCAATGACCAATACACAAATAACCTCTTGGAAACTCTGCACCTTTTTAAAGGTTGAGCTATAAACCACCTAAAAGTAACTGATATCCAAGAATCAAGATCACAGTGTATTTTTATAAAGCAAACATTCTTGTATTTCAGAAAAAAATAACACTTCTGAAAATTAAACATAAGAGAAAATAAATCAGAAAGGGAAGTAAATCAATGAACAATGTTTTCCCTTGATGTAATAGAGCAATCTATCTTATTCATAATTAGAGTTCCTTTTTCTTGAAATTAAACAACAATGCATTATTATTGATAGAGTCTATAGGTGAGCATGTGTATTTGTATATATAATACTATCTGTATGCACACACATATTTTAAAATAACACACAACAATTTATTTCATCACTGAGTTTCACCTAATTTGTATTATGACTTTACAGGATACAGTATAACTTCTTACATTCAATTTCTAGAGTGTGAACCTTAAGTGTGTATGTGTGTATATGCGCATGTGTGTGCTTAACCCTGAAATAGCTTTTCGGTGTAGTAAAAGTTTCCTTTCACAGAATATTAAAAATGAGGGTGAATAGAGACCTAGATTTTATTAGGAGCCAAGCAAAATTAATAAGGTTTACTTAAAGATTACATACTTATAAAGTTTCACAGTACATTTCTCTTAAAATTTAAAACACACTTTACGTGTATGAAATACACAGAAATATCATAGAAATTACTCATAATAGAAAATTGAAGTAAAAAGATTGTAAAAAGATACATCTTCATATAATCCCTTTTAATAAGTCTTTTTGAAAATCAAAAGTCCCATGAGAATTCATACTTCTTAGTAAAATGTGCAATTTATCTGAAATTTTTAAATATTTTGAAGATTTCCAATTGTCTCCTGACTTCTACATTAATGGTTCAGTTTGGAACTCCTGACTTAGGATTTGGATCAGTAAATTTAGAAGATTGGAAAAAAAGATATAAAGTTAAATTAGGTAATTGAAAAAACCCATCACTTCTCCGGGCCGCTGTCTGTGTTGTACACCATTTCAGAGAGAATCTGTCTAAACTTTTGGAATTCCTTCCTAAAGGGTTGTGAAACTTAAAACTTATGAGTTCCAACCACAAAACTGAGGGGTGCTACAACGTAACCAAATCTTGTCTACCCTTTACTTGGGATTATTATCTATCTATCTATCTATCTATCTATCTATCTATCTATCTATCTATCATCTATCTAATTTCTGTAACACAGCCAGGTATATACAAGTATCTACATATCGGCTTCTCTTGGCTCTGCTATAAGTCAGTTGTATGTCCTTGGATTTATCATTTAACCTTCTGTGATTCAGATTAGAGAGATTCACTCTGTAAATTAAAGGATGTGAACCCATTCTTCTCTCAATGCCCTCCCATTACAAATATTCTAGTTCTTCAATTGTCATAATTACATTCTCTACCTCCCTCTGCATGGTCACTTTCTGAATCAAAGGAAAGGCTGTTCATGGCTTTCATCTTTTTCACATCATGAAAATTAAGATACACCACTTTTTGTGAATTAATAGAGATTGAGGGAATTAGAGCACTGGGGCCTTAAGGTATTCATGAAGTGGAAAGTGTTGAAAATTACTGTCATATTTTCTGGGACAGAAGATCTTTCACTTAATCTATAAAGTATTTTCCTACAGGGCTATTTCTAATAAGGAAACAGCTCAGCCAGAACACATTCTTCTTGAAAACTAATGCCAATCATTAAACTGGCTTACAATATTTCCTGTGTTTTATTAAACTAGATTTACAGGAGATCTAATTATCTGTCAAATAATGAAAAATTAGTCACTTTGAGATTAATTAATCAATATGTGCAAATCATACTGGAGATGATAAATGTTTTCACAAAAAGAAAAATGGAAACTACCCAACTGGATGCTTCCTCCTCATCTTGGCTGTCAGGATTCTCCTTATGACAATTTCTCAGACTTGTACAGAAAGGCCTCTGAGGATGTTATTGCCAACAGCTCTCAGTGATCATCTGTAGTCTACTTACCTGCTCCAAATATTTTCAGCTAGATTTTAATTTCCTTAATTTCTTCTTGCCACATTTTTATTTTGCCAATTCTGTACTCATTTAAGCCATTTCTCTGGCATGTACATCAATTACACATGCCTTGCTGCTATTTTAGGCTTTTTATAAGCCAATTCAGCTAGATTCTGCCTTGGTGGAAAAAGCTAAATCACAAACATGCTTATTCACATTCTTTTAATTTACCAATCTGCTTTAAGTGCTCTTAGCAATTACGTACTTCACAACGAAGTAAATAGATGGACACCATTTCAAGCTAAATGTCAAAAAATCTTATTTTTCAAAAAAATTTCAGATGCACAGAACTGCAGATACTTCTTAAACAGTTTTCACAAACTTTGCAAGGGTACATGTTCACTTAGCTGTATAGTTTGATTGGAAACCACTAACAGGGAAAGCACTATAGATGCAGACAAGAATAAAACCAATATTGGGAAGTACTACAACTTCCCAATATTAAGAGATTGAAATGTAATAGGGAACCAGTACATAAGATTGAGAAGGACTAACCAATGAAGTAGAAAGAAACAAAAAGAGACTTCAGGATCCTGGAAGCCCAGTGATGAATGTATAGCAAGGATGAGAGAGTGATCAGCTGGTTCAAATCCTACCAATAGGTCAAACAAGATGAAGACTAAGAATTACAGTGATAAGCTTATGTTATAAAATAAATGGCATGTATCCATAGAAGACATAGGATATGAATTGCTTTCAGTCATTTGTTTCTTTAAATTAAAACCATAAGAGTGTGGCCAGAGAAGATTGTCTGAAAATAATGAGTTCTTTAGGCTAGGAGCATAGTAACCGAATCTTAGGGACAGAAATAGCACTGAAATCAAATAATCATCCTTTCTAACAATCAGATCTTGGGTAATTCACTTTATATATGTAAGCCAATGTATTTTTTTATCTTCAATGGGTAAAAATATACAACCACTAAGGTCCCTGCACATCAATACTTCTGTAATTTGAAAATAAAATAACACCCATAATCCTACCACTCAATAAAAGCATGTTCACTCTAAATGTTGTCTTTCACTCCTTGGTCATACTCGTATATATAATATATATACAGTTTTTAAAAGAATTCCATGTGTAAATTCTCAGTCACCTGATATTTTAAGCAAATGAAACAAAACAGAAGAAATATGTCTAATAGGCTTAAATCAACTTCCCCTTAGCTGTACACCCTTAGATGATACACAACTTCTGAGTTGTGGTTAAACTTATTTAATTTTCCAGGGCTACAAATTTAGTCACAAGAAAACATAGTTTATTTCTCTATTAATATATTGATCTTTCACATATGCTTCCAGCTTTTGATTAGGAAGGGGAAAAAGCCAATATTTAATCTAATATGGCAAATTTAATCTGTACACTATGTGGAACAGTCCATGTGAGAGTACATGGTCAATTTCATTTACAAGTTTATTGAGTTAAAAACTCAACTGTCAGATTTCTGGCCCTGCCCATTCCTTCTCTCTAAGAGGGCACTTGGTGGAGAGGTGTGTATATATGTGGTTTATGTGATGTCTTGGCAACAGGAGAATGATAGTATGCTCAGGTCTTTAAGATATTTTCTGCATCCTTGTGCATCATGGCTATGGAATGACAGCTCTAGGCAACTCTGGACATGTAACAATGAGGCATAGATGTCTAGGATATGAGCATTTTTCAGTGTCAGCTGTCAAACCATATGGCTAGTGAATTTATGATCCTTTTTCTGTCTCCATTTGGTCAGAGCCAAGTAACCTTTCATGATGGTTTAGCCTTACGTTTGTTCTCACTGGAGCTGAAGAATCCCCCTAAGGCCTAGCTGTGTCTCTCACACAGTTCCAGCCAATGTGGGCTACCTAGTAGCCCTTGGCTACTGAAACGATTTGTCCCTGCCATCATCATAAACAACTCCATCAGTCAAGCTCCCCAACTAGGTTCTCAGCTACCATACCAGTTCCTCTGTCAGAAGCAGATAAAAAATTGGGGGCCCATTTATGCTACTTAGGGATTGAGATTTACTCAAGAGAGTTATATTCAGAACTTCCCTCTGCCCAATCTTGCTTATTACTGAGTTCATTGCAGTAGGGGTATTTCCAATCTAAAAAGATGATAGGATCAGAAAGCACTTCATTTTCAATGTTGTCTAAACATAGTTTGATATATAAAGCCTACCCTCCAGATCTTGATATAAAGGAAAAGTTAAATAAACTGACCACATGTCTCTCCTACCTCTTTCTCCCCTCTTGTCCTCATAATCCTTGGGGACCAGAGGGTCTTGCATTGGTTAGCTACCCTTCTACTGTTTCAATGGACATTTCTTAGGTCAATTTGGCCATGTCTGTTCTTTCTATGATAAAGGAATGGGGGTAAAACAAATTTACAAAATATAATCATTCCACAAAATCTGGATTTCATGATTTTAGTTTTGCATATATGCTATTTTATGTCACAGACTGAATGTTAATCATTCGTTCTGTCTGCATTTTTACTCTAATAATGTTAAATCTTATCTCTACTACTCACAACCAGGCAGTGGATGGGAGAGAAGATACTACACAGAGATTTGGAAAAGTGAAAAAACATTTCAACATCTTGAAGTAATACCACTGCTGCTAAGAAAAAATAAAAAGAACCCACATTAAAAAAAAAGACATTTCATAAAGTATCCAATATATGTAGACTAACTCAATAATAGTAAATGATAGAACTTTCTTAGGAATTACCAATGTGTTTGGTGGTTCAAAGACTTTTGTCCCAATACTTCTATATGGGTTGTCAGTTAAGAACAGTTACAAAGGGAAATCTGTGCTTATTTTACAGGGAACCAGAGAGGAAGGATATGCAGACCCTGCTATGGCTGCTCAGGATGCAATGGTAACTAGAACCAGCTCTCAAAATGACTGTAGAGAACGTTTATTAAACTGGCCTAGGATGGTCATGGTGCTACCTCCTGCATGTATGATGTTTCAGGTCCTGTGGGAAGCCTGTCAACAGAAGACAGGGGAACACAAAACCATGCTGCAAATGATCCTGTGTAACAAGAGTTATCAACAGCTGTGGCTGGGTAATTATTCATCAGGTTTCTTTTCAGATACTTAGCTGATTATATAATAAAAAGTAAGTAGTTAACTGGAAAAAAATAGGGGTGGAAGGAATATTACATATAAATAGAGGAAAGCCAATTATTTCAAAGTTACTAATTTTGAATTATGTTTATACAGGCATGCCTCTCATCTAATGACATTATTAAGGAATAAAGTTTCCCTATAATTTTTTTCCAATAACTGAATTATATAACATTTAAATACTGAACCTTTTAAAACTATCTGTTTTTGATGGAGAACTTAAATATATTAGCTATTTACTGTTGGGCATATTTTTTATTGTCTTGAGAAGAATATAGTGAAAATAGCTTAATCAGTCCATAATGAATCAAGATCACTATTATTGACATTACAATTTATGTGAAGCTGCCTTGTTGGTCTTAGATATATGCTCATATTAGTTTGTACTTTGATTTTCTCCATACTGCTGTACCTTTCTGTTTCTCTTATTTTTTAAATTCTTTTTTCTACCTATATAAAACACATAGAAATTTATAAAAATTTTTTTACAGATAGCCTACTTCAACCCAACCCCACCCCATACTTTATTTACCTTCACTCTGTACAGCGATCTGATCAATATTTATATTTTAAATTTATAATATTTACAAAATTTCCATTGAATTATATCAATTTGTTAAAGTTTTCCAGGAATTTCAAAATATTTCTGGGCAAGACATAGTAGATGCCATCAATGAATGTTATGATGGATACTTTCAAGAGCTGCTCGTTGCAATAGGTAAGTAATAAGTTATTTGGTGAACAGCAGACCTTTTATTGGACAACAAATGCTGATCACAGACATTGTCTCTGATTATATTAAAGATGCCTGAGTAAGCTCTTGATTGAGTTACTTCCTCCTGAATTTAATTATTTAGAAAAGATATTAACTCTATAGAGGAAATGCACACGAGCCACTGATACAATGCATTAAACTGGCAACCAACCGATAACTTTAATGAACTAACACCCTTCCCTAATAGCTGGTTCTACTTGCATACTAGAAAACACTGGATTCTCAGATGCTCTCTCTCAGGTAATTGGGATCTAACACCTTTAAATTCATTTTATATATACCGACTTCTATTCCCATGTTGAAGAGCAGATGAATGCCAGCACTATGGGTTCCTTTTCTCCACAAGGAAAATAGTTTCACCATCTCTAATAAATTTGCCTTTAGGGCTAGGTCCTACCATATAAATAAATACATAAATAAATAAATAAATAAATAAATAAGATTTACCAAGTTGTTACTTTAGTCATAATTTCTGCAGGCTATTGTGAGAGAAGTGTATTCTTCCTAATTAAGACAAAAGTATTCCTCCATAAAGGGGAAAACAGTGGTAGCTATCCACAAAAACTACTGTTAAACTACCCATGCTTTTTGCCTGTGCTGTGCTCTGACTTGACAGCTTACATTGCAGGGAGTACAAATGAGGGGTCATTGTGAAATATCCCCTTGTAGGCACGCATCAAATAATCACTCAAAAATTTGTTGAATAAGTGCACATTGTGATTTTTCTAGTTCCAGAATGACACAAACCCACAGGGGCATGGGAGCGGAGAGATAACAGAATTTTTGTAGTTTATTTTGTAAAAGAGTTTTAACCTAGGACTCCATAAAAAGGGGTTGGTGGGCTCTATGAAATCCCTAAAATAGTATACAAAATATAAATATTTGTGTCTTTTTCTGAGAATATGGTGCATATATTTCGGCAAATTCTCAATATAATTTAATAATAATAATACACATCAAAACTCCTCATTTTCAAGATGCAGCCTTGGAGGTTAAGTGGCTACTCCAAAGTCTATCAACTAATTAATTAGCAACCAAGTTATGACTAGCACTCATGTCATCTGAATCTCAAGATTGCTCTCTTTCCACAGTAGACCATGGCCACAAAGAAAGCCATGGGCAAGAGAAAGAATTAGTGGACATCAGAAATACCAGAAAACAATTTAGCTGATTTGTTCATTCATTCAATAAACACTTATTATTTACTATTCTGGTAATTGATTTAGGCACTGCAGATGGGACAGTAAAACAACAACAACAAAAACAACAGCGGGAGTCCTTATCCTTAAGGCACTTACCTTCTAGCAGCAACTCAAGAGTGCCTATGGGGTTCATAGTTATAAATAAAAGGAAAAGATGAAGGCATGGTCTCACCATCTGAAATAATCACTTGAACTACAGACAAAACACTGTTATGATGATTTTATTTTCGCCTAGAAGTTAGAGCCTATATACATTACTCATTCATTCATTTATTTACTTATTTAAATAAACATTATTGAATGTCTACAATCACCAACTGACCTTCATCAAGGATAACTATTGACGAGGCTCCAGGCTGCTCTAATGCTATAGGTTTTGATTAGATGACTTCTAACCCAGGGACAGGCCAGTTAAGGTCCAAAAAATTTCTCCTTAAGAAACCTCAGGTTTACTCACAAGTCTACAAAGGACTAAAAATAGTGTTTGGGAAGATAAACCATTTACTCAGGACTATGTCACATTGAATCCTACAATAATAAAAATCTATAATAGTGTTGATAACCTGGGTCTCTTTGAAGCTCTACTTAATTTTCAAATAAAGAGCACACAGTTTTCTTCATTAGGCTCTACAAAGGAACTAAGAGAGGTCCAAGAGGTAGAGATAAATGAAACTCTTAATGAAACATTTTAGTAGTGTTGTTTTGTATCTTTCTATAACTTATGATTTTACTACTGTTCTAAACGTTAAAATTTTAATAAATGGACAATGAAGGGATCCCACTTAGAACTCACAAAGTATCACTTTTTTAGAATTGTAACAGAAAAAACAATAAGTTTCTTTGTTTCTCAAATTTTGAAGAAAATATATGTCATTCAAACATTCTTCTATTCTGATTATTTTCTAGTTCTCTGTATTCGAGACAAACCAGCCTATTTTGCTTATAGACTGTACAGTGCAATCCATGTAAGTATGGCCCACATATTTTTAAAATTTCTCCAGAAATCATGTCTACTCTAAGGATTAGTTTTACTTCCATTACTTAAATATTTTCATTTTTTGCACTTGTATGTAAATGTGCATTTAAAAGAAAATATGCTCAAGTGTTATACACCAAAATGAGACTCATCAAATAAAAATAATGTTCTGCTTTCTATATTAAATCGAGGTCACAAAGAAGTATGATTCCTTGGGGCCTATCTCTCCCACGTGCTTTAGTGTTTCTTAGCAACTGAAGAAACTGGTAAAATCCAAATGCTTTTCTATCTTGCCAAAGACTCCACCTCATACTCATGCAAGTACAAAACATGGCATCAAGCAAAAAAATGTCAAAACATTACAAACTCTCAGTAAGAAATCGCTCCATTCCTGCAGTTTTACAACACAAAATAATGTCAGTGGTTATTTTTAAATATAAAGAATTATTTTAAAAATAATACTTAAAAAGAGATATATAGACAACAATAAACTCTAAAGCTATTTTTGTAACTAAATCAGAATATTTTTCGTAGTTTAGTGTGGTAATCTATCTTACATCCTTTGGTACATTCATTTTTAAAGAAATAAACACTTAAATGCCTAAGACAATTCACACCTTATCCATAATATACACAAAACATGTTGAGAAAAAGGAAATGTCTGATACAAATCATTATACATATGTGATAGCCTTGAAAACTCAATGAAAATTATTTTAAAAATTTCACTAATACAGTAATTTTCATCATCAGGGTGTTTTATCTGCAAAGAAATTTTTACAAACTTTGTAAAAGTAGCCAGCATACTCAGATAGTATGTAATTATCAAGAACACTTCTATTATATATGTTGTGTAAAGAGTATTTTTTTAATATGTACAAGAACCTATGTATCCTGAGAACACAGGAGGGAGATCAACACTCATCATCCACTGTTTCTCTTTTATTGTATCTCCAAGCAGAAAAAGTTGATTTAATCAAAAAATTGTTTAAAACATTGTATTGGGCATGCTGCTTCATGATTTCAAAAGTTTTTTCTCCAACAACAGAATACAGCTTCCCTTGTGAGTGACCATGGGGAAAACGATCACAATTACTCTGGTTCCAATTATGCCAAGTGAGGGCTATTTATTCTAATAAGTAAACATTGTACCCCTGTTGTGTGTGTTACAATGCAAGAAGGAAGGTGTGTGTGCTCACAAATGGTTTGGAGGTAAAGAGAAGGATTGCATATTTAAGTCATCAAGCTTTTGATATATGAGGCCTTCAAATGTAAAATATCGGTGGTGTTTTCATCACCTCTAACCATAGAAAATCTCCATGTTTTTCTCCAGTGGACTGTAAGTGAATGATATGCAACTTAAATATAGAAACTTGGGTAGATTGTTCATTTGAATCACCTCAAATAATGGAAAGCTTGTTAGTGAGTCTGCACACAAATACTCAGACATCAAATGTTAGTTTATCTTTACTGGCCACTGGATGTCAGCATTACTCCACCAGAAAAGATGATTTGCAATTTATTCGTTAAGCAGTATTCTTTCTAGAACTAGTAAACAGAAATCATTGTAAATTTTTTCAGTATTTGAGTTTAAACCAGCAAATATTTCAAGTATTTGGAATTTTTACAATCTTCAATAATAAACACGATAAAATAAAAATGTGATTGTTGTCTTAGATATGTCAGCATTCATCTAACAGAGTTCAGAATCCCCTCCTACTCCCCCACTCCTCCCCCTAACCTCCCCCCACACACACACACATGAAGAACTTCTTATGGAAGAAGGGGCAACTATTGCAGAATCAGGGTGAAAGAAACGATGATAAGGGCTAGCAGCAAGGCAGCGACACTGGAAATAGAGATTACAGAGCACTGAAGAAGTAAAAGAGGTAAAATATTGCATTGTATGTACACAGTAAGAGAAGGGAAGACAGAGGTGACTCTCAGAACCTGACGTGGGCGCCCCGCTGATGGCGACGCCAGTGTGTGAGGGATACAGGAGGAAGAGTAAATTGCTACAGAGAAGGGATGAGACTATTTTATACAGATGAACTGTAAGGCATGGCTTTCTCATTTTTGTCTTCTTCCCTTTTCTGTATATTTTAGGACTTTGGTTTCCATAATAAAACTGTAATCAGGATTCTAATTGCCAGAAGTGAAATAGACCTGATGACCATAAGGAAACGATACAAAGAGAGATATGGAAAATCCCTATTTCATGATATCAAAGTAAGTCTCCCACACATGATTTAGTTGGGCCCACAGTCTGTTGTTTTTGAAACTGAAATAAGAGCTTTAATGTAAATAACTTCATGTTAGAATCTAAAACATCAAATATTCTGATGAGGGTAATAATCTCCTTCAGTACATCAGTCAGCCGTCAGGGCATCAACAGTGCTAACCAGAAATCCCTTGGGGTCAGTGACAGAACTTATTCCTCTTTCCTGTGTTTTAAGCAAAAATCATTGACATATTCATGTAAACCATTCATCCCCTAGTTGAATAATTGGGCTTTACAAGCTAAATTCCCAAGTATGATCAACATTGAGAAAAACGCGTTTGTTTTTTTTTTCTTTTTTTAGCTGAGCCATCCCGCCACCTGTTGGCAGCTCACGGCTNCTCAGCTCGGGCTGACTCGAACCGCTGTTGCTCAGAGCTCAAACTCTTGAGCGAGCTCTTAACCAACTGAGCCACTCAGCCGGCCCTGAGAAAAACGCGTTTTGCTAAAAGGCCACCTTAATTGTGAAGAGGCTTCTTAGATCAGTTCACCTGTCCTCTTATATAGTCATAAAAGGCGGGGTAGCCAGTCAAACCCCATGAATGGTAATTTGGATGAAGTTAACATTGATAGTTATCTAAAATTCTATATATCCCTTTAGCCCTTGGAGGGCAAAGAACAATAATTCAGAAGTAAACAAGCCAGATTCAACATTCCGATATGTCTAAACGTTACCCTGGATTTTGACAAAACCTAGCAAAGAATTATCAGACTATATAGAATCACCTGTGAAAATGCTTGATCCCTTTTACAAAAAAAAAAAATTATAAAGAATTTCAAGATGGTACCAGCACAGTATTAAAGCAAACACGGGGCCCTGAAACTATTTTATATCTCAATTTCTATTTCTCACGTACCTATGCTATTACCTTATTCACATTATTTTTCATTGAGATTTTCAATTGCACAAACAGGTTTTTAGTTTATGGAAAGAGTGATCCAGAAGCAACTTGACAACCTAAAGACCAAGAGACCACAAAACCCAGAAAACCTTGTAGGCCTTTGGGTAGCCAAAGAGATTTCTAAAAGGAAGACTTAGTTGATGGACCACTTAGCTAAGAGAAGTCTTACTCCTGTTTCTTTGATAAAACTCTCCTTACATCCACCTTCAAAACCCTAAACTTTTAGTGGTGATAAATATTTCTCATTGAGAAATGTGTGTCATTACTCATTTTCTAAATCAATAAACTAATTGTAGTACAATTACTGCAAATAATCACAGCCACCTCAAAATCTAATATTTACCTATTAATGCAACTTTATTTTGTGAATTTAAATAAATTATAATTACATGACTTTATATAAGAGAACATTAATATGATAGTTGATTTTTAACAAAGATAGGCTTTAGAATTCCATTTACTTATTACTATCATTGTTTTGAAAAACTTAGTAACTATAGGAGACCACAAAAAAAGGAAAAATTACCCTAATTCTCCAGCACAGATAACCAGTAATAAAATTTGTCATAGGTGCTTTCTGTACTTTTGAAAAATAAATATGAACATTAATATGTTTTACTACTTAAAGGAATATTTTTATTGTATGTTATAAGGTACATAAACTACCCACTTATTATATATTGCTTTTTAATTTTTCACTATTATACATAATATTATGGTGTATATTTTTAAGCATAAATCTTTATGCTCATCAGTCATTGATAATTATTTCCTTAGGATATGTTTCTTAAAGTAGAATTACTGCATTAATTAGTATAAACATTTTTGTCTCTTTAAGACATATTGTCAATCTGTGTTCCAGGCACTACATTGATTATAGCAATAATATTAGTACACCTTTCTAAAGTTGAGGAGATTTCATTCTACTGCAAGTTATTCCTCTTATAAATACACATTAGAGTTTAATCAACTTTATATAATCCCCATTCTATTGGCTATAATGATGGTATTATTTTTCAATAACTTCCCCTGGGAATAGTTCTCAGGACATATTAAATCTTTAGATGAAAAAGTAAATAATTTTGGAAAAACTAATAGCCCATGGGTGTTTCATGCTGTAATTCAGAGAAATTATGGTTCTTTTTAGAAATACTATGACATTTTATTTCGAATATATTTTTTCTTTCCAGAATTTTGCTTCGGGGCATTATGAGAAAGCTCTGCTTGCCATCTGTGCTGGGGATGCTGAAGACTACTAAAGCAAGGAAAGGCGTTGGAGGACTGTGCACTCCTCTGCATAGACATGTCAAAATTTAGATTTTGTCATAAATTTGCATTGGTAGTAGCCTTGTAACAAAACAACAGAATCATATTTCCTCTTCTATCTTTAAAATTATTCTAAGCCAAAGACAACTCTATTAATAAATTTATGAGACTGGACTTTCACTTAATATCTAAATCAATAATTCATTAAATTGTGTTTAATGGAATCATTAAAAAACACATTGCATTGAATTAGATTTTATATAAATGTGAACCGTTGAGTCCCTACAATAGGAGACTGCTTACGGCTGCCCTTAGCATGCTTTGGGAGATCAACGAACACACAGTGTGTGGCCATCCCCCTTAGAAGAATTTTCAAGACTTGTACAAATGTAACAAAGCTACAGTGAACATCTAAAGCCACCTTTGAAAGAAAATAAAGGTATAGAATAGTAAAATGCAATCAGATATATGCTTTTCAGGCTTAGATGAGCAAGACACTTAGATGTAAAAATAGGTGTGTGTGGTGTGTGTGTGTGTGTGTGTGTGTGTGTGTGTGTGTGTGTGTGTGTGTGAATGTGACAACCACTCTAATAAAGACATTTTTTTTATGTTGCTACCTAATCAACCACTTTCCCATTGCTTTTGTCTTCACTTCATAACAATAGCATTAAAGTCTTTTGGAAGTTATATGCTTTGTGCCAGTCGCTTGTGTGTCTCAACATTCAGTAAATTCGGAGCAGCAAAAGAAAAATACTCACTGAGCTCAGATTTGAAGGAAAATGTAATGTCACAGTCTAGCCAAGAATAAAAGCAGAGATAGGGATGGATGAGTCCACATAAGAGGGTTCTCAACAAAAGCAAGGGGAAACACAAAAGCCGAGATCATAGGAAGCAGTGATTAATGAGGTAAGGCAAGGAAACATGGACATAGAGGCAATAAATCTAGATAAACTAGTAAAGCTGATAGAGGTGCTCTATTCCTCACGAAACATTTTTCCATAGCCTATAGCCAATCCCCTGTTTGTATTGGAAAAATGAAAAATGTTTTCAGACCGGCTGTCTAATAGGAGAATACTATAAGACATTTAGCACACAATAATTGGGTACAACACGAGACATTTCAGACTTCTGAGACCATTTTCAATACTTCATCTTACTGCTGTGGTATATGATACATGTCATTTTAAATTGGGTTTGGTTTCTACCTTTTAAAAAATCACATTTCAAGGCCAAAGAAGTAATTGTTTGAGACATTTGGCATAGCCATTACATAAGCTAAAATTCTCAGGAGAAAAATATTGCTAGAACTCCTGATGAGAATTTAGATAAAAACTTTCCTCACTAGGACATCTTTCTATAAGTTGTCAATAAACTGTGAAGTCTGTACTTTAGCTAGGTAATGCATTTTATCTCTTTCACGCAGCATGAAAATCAAATCAAAAACAAATCTGGACTTAGATAATGAGAGACTTTATTCAAAAAGACTATTGTAATGAGTGGAAAGGCCTGTTGCAATAGGGAAAGGTTGGGGGCGGGGGGCGGGTGGTAATACAGTCAGGGAAACGCTCTCACTGAGATTTTCAGGGGTCTCAAACGTCAGCCAGGAAAGATTTCTAATTTATCGGGATGAGAAAACAAGGCTAAAAAGCATCAGGTGTAAGGGAATGGGGGGAATGTATACTGTGATCTGGGAATGTCTTTGGCTGATATTCCCAGTCACAGTTGATCTCAGATTGGACAGTTGATCAGGGACAGTTGATCTGAGAATGCCCCCAGGCAGTTTTAAGGAGGAGCCTAAGGATTCAAGTTCAGGGCCTGTATGGAGGGGAGAAGCCTGACTACAGTTGGTTATGTTAGCTGCCATTTTGTCCAGATTGGTCAGCAGGGAGAAACGGTGTAATTAATCATTTATGAAACAAAGAATGGAAATTTGGTGTGCTGAAGATTGTCATAGGTATACAAAGGGGCCATATGCAAGTCTAAATCATATAAGAAAGAGTGGTTCTTTGCAATAATCCATTTCCTGAAACACAAAAAGTCATCTTTGTTTTCTAGGAGCACAGTACTCAGGTGAAATTTAACTTTATCAGTCTATTTTTTTCCCAAGTTTCATCCTGAAATCGTCACTTAGTTGTTTAAATGCTAACACAACGTTGTCATCTTCATCATCACATAAATCACCTAGTGAAATCCTGAAAAAGATTAAGGGTTGAAATTATGACCATTGTTATTTGTACTAAATGATGTTTAGCTGGTTATGTGATCTTCAAAAGCAGAAATGTTTACTATACCTGATGGACTGAACAGTAAGTGCGAAACTTCTGATTAAATGAAAAGCATCTCCCATATTTAACCTATAGAAAAAAAAGTAACATTTAAAGGAATAAATCTGTTTTTTTTCCAGTATTATCAATCTACAGTAAAGAAATAATAATTAACCACTGAATTGCTGGCTTTTCCAGAGACAAAATAAAACAGATATGGAAAGACTGCAAAGATGTGTTTGTATACTTTGCATCAGTATTTTTCTATGCTCGTTTTAGCCCTAAATTGACTAAACTAGTAAAGAGGCTAATCATTTGTTTAACAATATGACTTTAGTGCATTTACATAGTAACACATTATTATTACCAAAGTATTTCATATATGTTAAAAACAGTGTCATATATACAGATATCACTAAAAATAGCAGGTAGGCAGCTCCAAGGGCCTATCTCTCCACAGAAACATCAGAAAAAAAAGAAAAGTAAAATCAAGCAAAACTGTCTGAGTCAATTTTATCAGAGCTCAGAATCAATTTTATCAGAAAACAGTCAAAGGTTTAACTCAAATCATGAGAAACGTTAGACAAGGTAGGAAAGCTTTGTGACATTTTTATTTGCCCATTCTCTACCCTCCTTCCAGCTTAGGGTCTTAAAGACAGCATCCTATGTTCCCAGTGTGGCCCTAACCCCTGGTTGCAGAGAGAATAGAGCCAACTAGCCTTATTAATAAAGAATGTGCTGTCTGTCCCTTCTAAGCTGCCTGGGAGCTGGCTGAAGGACTGAGGTGAGGCACTTGCTTGTCTGTGTTTTACCTAGCTCAGAACTCACTAACGGAGGGAAAATGGTAAGGCTTGCAGCTACTTAGGGCGAAAGGTTACAGTTGAATCAATGAATGAAAACCTGTGAGAAAAATCTGGGAGAGAGTACCCACATATATTGGGGAACTTAGAAAGCCATGCTATTGCCTAGGGTAGAACACGTGCTCTGAAAAGACCTGATAGAACCCTAAACTTTCACCTCTGGCTGGTCCCTAGGATTAGTGCAAGAAAGAGATGCAGGATAAGGCATCTCCTATCCTGAGTTATAAATGGACTAAGTGCTGAAAGGAGTTTCACAGCACAGAGTCAGTCTGTAAAGAATGGGAGACATTTTTGCTTCATTTTTTTCTTCCACCTCCCCCCCCNCCCCGCCCCTCTCTTTCTCTTCTTGTGTTCAAAGAAATCTCTGCCAAACCACTGGCTGAACACAAACTAAAGAAATAAGGACTTCAGAGATCACACATGATGAAGAATACAGACTTTATAAAAGCAGTTTAGAAAAGTCACTAAATGAAACAACAGCTATGGTGGACAGTTAGAAACAAAAACAACAAAGCCTAAAAGGGAGAAAATTCCAGAATTACCACATTATAATATTCAAAATGTACAGTTCTCAAAAAAAATTTGAAGCATGAAAAGAAACAAGAAAGTGTGCCTATTGATAAAATTATCAGAAACTATCACTGAGAGAGAAAAAAAATGGTAGAAGACATATAAAAAATAAATACAAAATGGCAAAAGCAAGTCCTTCGTTATCAGTAATATTTTAAATGTAAGTGGATTAAATTATCCAATGAAAAGATAAAGACTGGCTGAGCAGATAAAAAATAAACATGATCCAACTATATACTGTCTGTAAGAGACTTACTTTAGATCTCAAAGCATAAAGGTATTGGAAATGAAAGGATGAAAAAGATATTCCATGTGAATAGTAAATAAGAGAGAGCTGAGATGGCTTATACTAATATCAAGCTTTAAGTCAAAAACTGTTATAAGCGACAAAAAATACGTTATAATTGATAAAAGGGTTAATTCATCTAGAAGATAAAACAATTATAAACATGTGGACCCCAAGCAACAAAGCCCCCAAATATGAGGCAAACATTGACAGAATTAAAGAAAGAAACTGACAGTTCTAAAATAATAATTGACAACTTTAATACCCAACTTTCAATAATAGATAGAACATCCAGAGGAAATATCAATAAGGAAATAAATGACTTAACATGATAAACAGCTAGACCTAACAGACATATTTATTCAATTATACCCAAGAACAATAGAATATATCTTCTTCTCATGTGTGTATCAAACATTTGCCTGAAGAGATCATATGTTAGGCTATAAAACAAGTTTTAATGTATTTAAAAATACTTAAGTCATACAAAGTATCTTTTCAGGCCACAATGAAATGAAGCTACAAATCATTAACAGAAGGAAAATTGAAAAATTTACAAACATACAGAAACTAAACAGCACAGAAACAATGGGTTCAAGATGAAATCACAGGAAAATCAGAAAACACTTCGAAACAAATGACAGTAAAAGTGCAACATACCAAAAGTTATGGCATACAGAGAAAGTAGTGCTCAACAAGAAATTTATACCAGTTAATACCTATATTGAAAATGATAAAAATTCTGAAATCAACAACCTAATTTTATATTTAAGGAACCAGAAAAACAATGATCTAACACTTAAGCTAGAAGAAGAAGGGAAATAAAAAAGATCAGTATAGTGATATATGAAATAGAGAATAGAGAAACAATAAAGAGAATCAATGAAACTAAGGTTGGCTCTCAGAAAAGGTTAACAACATCGACAAATTTCTACCTAGACTGACAAAGCAAAAAAAAAAAAGATGCAAATAAATAATATTAGAAATGAATGTGGGGACATTACTACCTATGCTATAGAAACAAAATGAATTATATAAGAGTACTATGAACAACTAACTCTACACCAAAAAATTAGATAATCTGGATTAAATGGATATTCCTAGAAATATGCAAATTACCAAAACTGACTCAAAAGAAATAGAAAACCTAATAAAACTTATAACAAGAAATTTAATCAGTTATGAAAAACTTCAAAGCAGACTTCAACAGCAAAGAAAAGTCTAGACCAGGTGGCTACACTGATGAATTCTACCAAATATTTAAATAATATCCATCATCCTAATTCAATCTATAAAGCATATATTACTCTCATAATAAAACCAGACTACGACATTACAAGAAAAGAAAACTACAGATCAATATTCCTTATAAATGTAGATGCAAAATTCCTTAACCAAATACTGACTCCAACAGAATGTTCAAAAGATTATGCACTATGACTTATTGGGCTTTATCCCAGGCCTTATCCCAGGACTGCAAAAAACATCAACATCAGAAAGTCAATCAACCTAATACATCAGATTAATAGAATGAAAGAAAAATTCACATGATCACTTCAGTAAATGTACAATAAGCACTTAAAAAAGTCCTTTCATGATAAAAATACCCAGCAAACTAGGAATATAAAGAAATTACCTTAACATGATAAAGGACATTTATGGAAAATCTCACAACTAACATCAAAATGATAAAAAAACAAACAAACAAACAAAAAACTGAAAGCTATTTCCTAAGATCAGGAACAAAACAAGGATGCCTGCTTACACCACCTCTATTCAAGATTTCACAGGAGCAATTGAGTAAGAAGAAGTGAAAAAAAAAGTCCAAATTGGAATAGAAGTAAAACTCTATTTCACAGATGACATAATCCCATATCTAGAAAATCCTGAAGAATCCACAAAATAACTATTAGACCTGATAAATAAATTTTGAAAAGTTATAGACTACAAGACCAACACTCAAAAATCAGTTGTGCTTCTATACACAAGCAAGCTACTTTCTGAAAAGAATATTAAGGAAAAAAATCCAATTTTAGTAGCATCCAAAAAAATGAAATACCCAGGAATAAATTTAACCAAAGAGGTAAAAGATTTGTACACTGAAAACTACATTGTTGAAAAAAATTAAAGAGGACCTAAGAAATAGAAAGACGTTTTATGTTTATGGACTGAAAGACTTAATATTGTTAAAATGACAATATTATCCAAACAGATCTATAGATTCATTGCAATCCCCATCAAAATTTCCACAGCCTTTATTGTATAATTGGGAAATACCATCCTCAAATTTATATGGAAATATAAAGTACCTTGAATAGCTAAAATAATTTTGAATATGAAGAACGAAATTGAAGACACACTTTCTTACTTCAAAAGCTATAATAATCGAAGCAGTATGGTACTGGCATAAGGATAGACATAAAGACTAATGTAATATAACTGAGAGTTCAGAAATAAACCCACATATCTAGGGCAGGGGTCGGCAAACTTTTGAGATGGAAGAGCCAATTTTGTCCCTCACAACAATTTAAAAATTATTCGAGAGCCATAAGACAAGTGAAATCACCATTATGTGAGTAATTACCCTTTAAAAATTTTATAAGTGAAACTATGATAGTTATAGTTTCATTTTCAATTTTACTTTAGAGCCACATGTATGTACCCAAAAAGCCGCATGTGGCTCGTGAGCTGCAGTTTGCCGATCCCTGATCTATGGTCAACTGATTTTTGACCAAGTGCCAAGATCATTCAATAGGGAAATAATTCTAAAACTGGTGCTGGGAAAACTGTATATCCACATGCAAATGAATGAAATTGAACCTTATCTCATTTTATATATCAAAATGTATTCAGAATGAATTAACAACGTAAATATAAGAGCCAAAACTATAACACTCTTAAAAGAAACCTATGGATAAATCTTCATGGCCTTGGATTTGTGAGTGGATTTTTAGATATGATACCAAAAATATAAGCAACAGAAGAAAAAATAGGTTGGTTGTACCTCATCAAAATTAAAAACTTTTGTGTATCAAAGGATATTATAAAGAAAATGAAAAGATAACTTACAGAAACAGAGGAAATATTTGCAAATCATATATTTGGTAAAGGTCTAGTATCCAAAATATATAAAGACTGTCTACAACTCAAGCACAAAAGAAAAAACACACACTCACACACGCAATTAAAAAATGGGTAAAGAATTTGAATAGCATTTGTCCAAAGAATATATACATCTTTTCATAACATGAAAAGATGCTCAACCTCATTAGTAATTAGGGAAATGCAAATTCAAACAACAGTGAGGTATATATCACTTCACACCCACTAGAATGGGATATATATACATATATATGGAAATATTATATATATGGAAATATTCCATTATTAAATGGAAATAACAAGTGTTATGAGGTTATGAAGAAATTAGAAGCCTTGTACATTACTGGTGGCAATGTAAAGTAATTCAGTTGCTGTGAAAAATATTTCAGCAATTTCTCAAAAAATTAAATATAGGGTTACTATATGACCCAGCAATTCTCCTAGGCATATACCCAGAACTGAAAACAGGCACTCAAACAAATAAACGTACATGCATGTTCATAGCAGTACTATTCACAATAACCAAAAGTTGAAACAACCCAAATGTTCATCATCTGCATAAACAAATTGTATATACACATACGATGGAACATTATTCAACTATAAAAAGGAGTGAAGCACTGATAATGCGACAACCTGAAATATTATAGTGAAAGAAGTCAGACATAAAAGTTCACATAATTGTATGATTCCATTTATTTGAAATAGTCAGACTAAGTCAATCCATAGAGATAGAGAGCAGACTGGTAGTTGCCAGAGGTTGGGGGAAGGCAGGAGTGGGAGTTGCTGCTGAATGGACACAGATTTCCCCTTTGGGTTAATGACAATGTTTAGCAACTAGATAGAGGTGGTTGTTGCACAGCATTATGAATGTACCAAATGTCACTGAATGTCACTTTAATATAGTTAATTTGATGTTATGTAAACTTCCCCTCAATAATAATAATAAATTATAAATAGCATTTTAAAAATAGTTCCATGCAAACTGCAGCTTCACGACTCTTCTTAAATTACTGCATCTTAAAAGTATGTTCATAAATCATAATGCCACAGCACAATAAATGTCAATTACACAAACACACATGTCTATAAAGAGAGTTAAAATAGAAAAGGTCTTACCAATTATCCAAAGTAAGTGCTGACAGGGAACCAGTTTTGTAGAAGTTCAATACATAACCATTCAATGGACACTTCCTTCCATTCTTATCACGTTTCTCCAAGCAAAGGATAGGAATATTTTTATCATGCACATCAATTGTTCGTAACATAGCCTGAGGAATGCAGACATTGTAGATTCTGAGCATTTTTCTTTTGATATATGCCTTAATCTACTATAAAATTCGATTACTGTGGTGCATTACATCTAGCTAACTAAAACAATAACCCAATATATTTTAATGAAATATAGTCAAAATGCTTTGTGTATTAAGGTTCTCCAAACTTTAATTTAAATAACCAAAGAAAATTAGTAAAAAGATACACTCAAAATATTAAAATTATTTTTGAAATTACAAAAATGTGATCTCTAATTTATTCAGAGTTTGAAGTTATAACCTTAGTAATATACTACAAATATTTTTCTAAAGTTCATTTTTCCAGAAAATATTTGTGAGTTTACAAACATATGGGTATCAGCTACACATAACAGTAATAGTCCTTGTTGTTTTTTTCCATACACATCTATTTTTTTCTTTCAAGATAAAAGTATCTGATTTTGGTCAATGGTATAATCACAGTCATTGTCATTTATTTTCCATCATTATGCCATGGATAAGCTGTCAGGGGTCCAGGCAGGATGGGCAGTCTTATTACTATGAGTCATGTGGGGCAGTAAACAAAGTAGCTCTTGTGTTAGTTTCAAAAAGTTGATATATATTTATTGAGTTTATATTCTGTACCAAACACCAATTTTAGGTGCGGGATCACACAAATGAAGACAAACAAACACAAACTGCCCTCAAATGGGTTATACTAGGGCTTCTCCGATGTTAATGTGCATTTTGAACTTAGTAGTTCTGAGATAGCTCCCAAGATTCATCATTTCTGGGAGGTGATAGATACTGAGGTTGCTGGTCTTGGTTCACACAGAGGGTGCAAAGGGCTTATGCTATAGTGATTCACATAGTGAGACAATTGATACGGGATGGTTAATTGAGAAAGTCACATTATTTTCCTTATCTAACTCAGTTTTTCTATTTTAAAACAACTCAATTAGTGAAAGAAAAATATGTATATATATTTTACACTTCCATGAAAAGTACTACTATTATACAATAAGAGTAAGATGGCTTAGTTTTACTGGACACTTAGCTAGTATTATAATCATGTAAAAACTATTTTCCTTAAATGAATAACAGGGTAAAAGGAAGTTTCAGAATTTACATACATCATTTACCACATCAATATCAAATAAATCTTGATCAGTTATATTTGACAGGCAAGCAAATGGGGAAACAGCAGTTCTGCTCTCAGTCCCAGGCATCAAATGAGAGACCAGTTCAGAGTCTTCATATTCTTTACCTGAAAAGTCTAATAAGAAATCAATTGGAAAATCAAATAAGAAAATAATTGAAAATGGTTCTCCTATAAAACACAAATTGTTTAAAACACATCATGTGTTGATGCCATTATTACTAGGAAAATTATTGAAATTTGCTTAAAGGAAAGTATTTAAGAAGAAAATTTAAGGCTTATATTGCTGGATCATCACTCGGAAGTCTTCTAACACTAAAATCATTCTGGCATCTACTAGTGGTTCTATTATTCGTAGTTATTAATTAGTCCAACTGGGTATTTCCATGTCTATCCACTCAGAAATTAGATAGACACTATTTACAAAGCAGGAAACTTACTTCAATGGACACTAGTAGATCTGAAGATCCCAAGTGAAAACCTAGCACGATACAACTGTCCTTTAAAATGAATTTTATTATCAATTAATTCCTTGCAAGATGCTATGGAGATACAAAAGCTGCAAACTTTCTCATAATAAAGTTAAAATTGACATTATTGCCCACTTACTTATGCTAACCCTGATATTCATATTTCAACAGATGGGAAAAAATTCCTGTTACACACCAGGAGGCAAAATTAATAGAGGGACATTTCTAGGTCTTGTGGAGCTCTCTCATGTCACCTTAGGTCTGAGTAGTGAATTTGGGAAGATGCCATGTGCATCTCAAATGATCTATCGGGCCTATCTATCTATCTATCTATCTATCTATCTATCTATCTATCATCTTCCCACCTCCTTTCCTCCATTTCCTCCTTCCTTTCTCCTCTGACTTCTTTCTCCGACAATAACTCTCATTTCTGTGTCTTCTTGTTTCTATCGGAATGACTCACTGCCTTTCTTCTGTTGCTCTCTCTCTGCCTTGCTTCGTCTGTCATGTTTGTTCATTTTTACTCTCCATTTTCTCTGTGTTGTCCTCTCTCTTTTTTCTGTCTCACTCTCTTAGTTTGTCTCTCTTTGTTAATCTCTCTCTTTCTACATGTCTGTCTCTCTTCCGTCTTTCTGTCCATGTATTTGCCTCTATTTCTGTCTATTGCTAATTCTGTCCATCTCTCTCTGTGTGTGCGTTTCTTACTGTGCTTGTGTCTTATCTCTTTGTTTTACTCCCTCTACTTCTCTCTCCCTGATTGTCTGTCTCTATGTCTCCTATCTATCTATCTGCCTCTGTCTTTCTGTCCTTTTCTGTGTATTTGTCTTTCAATCTCTGATTCCTAAGAAGATACACTGCAGTATTTTCTCTGTTATGTGTGGTAACTCAGAGGCTAGAATCTATAAGAAAGGGGCATTACTGTTTCATTAGGCAGACAGGGAGGTGAAGCTTCACTCAGGGCTATGCTTTCTGAAACACCTTTCACTGAAAGTGGAAACCATGTTTTCTAATTCAGCTTCATCCATATTACTCCCATATTAATTGTTCACTTGATCCCAAGTTTAGGAGATAACTACAAGGATTTAATGCCTGACCTGTAAGCACCCAAAATTAAATGTATGACTTAGGGTTATTAATAAGTAACCCTGCAATTTTTAACAATTACAACCTTGTGGTATAACATAAAACTTTGTGTTTTAACACAACCCAAGTTTGTAATATTACAGTTCTGGAAATCAGAAATCTGAAATGGGTCTCACTAGGCTAAAACCAAGGTGTACCCAGAGCTGTGTTTGTTATTCTGGAAGGCTGTAGGAGAGAATCTATTCCTTGCCTTTTCCAACCTCTGGAGGCTGCTGCACAGTCTTTGGCAGGTGGCCGCCTTCCATCTTCAAAGCCAGCGATGATTGGTCAAATCTTTCCCATATCACATCTAACACTGATTCTTCTGCCTCCCCTTTTCACTTATAAGGGTCCTTATGATTACCTTAGGTCCATACAGATAATCCAGGATAATCTACCCATTTCAAGGTTCGATGATTCAAAAATTTAATTCAATCTGCAATCTTAGTTCCCCCCTTTGCTATATACCACTACATACTCACAGGTTCCCAAGATTAGGACCCAGACATCTTTGGTTGGGAATTTTAAGTCTGTCTACCACAGAAATCATATCCGAGAAAAATAGAGAAGAAAGATAATTGCATTCACCACTCCAAGTCCCCAGTGTAGAAAATTGCCTGGGAACATTTAGGTTCTTTTCTATAAAAGTGACTCATTATTAACTAATTTCTCCTTTTATGGTAAAGTAAGCTCACCATTTTCTCTTTGTCCTTCATAAGCCTTCAGCATTCCAATATAATAATCCATCCAGAAATATGAATCAACCAAATCAGCCCTTACTGCTCCATTTTTTTCCTTGCTTCCTCTGCAAGTGGGAGACATAGAATTCTGCCACCTTCCTTTTTTCCTCTTAGCTCTCTCTCCTTCTGTCTTTTCATGTTGGGGCTCTGAGTGTTTTCTCTACTTCTAACCCCTTTACTTCTTCTAGCACACATTACTGAATAGTCCTTATATTTGTATTTTCCTTTTTTACTTATTCTGTCCTTTCCTCAAAGGCACAGGCAAAGCCTTAACTTCTTTAATGTCCCCCATAGTACTCAAAGAAGTACAACATACTGATGACCACTAATAAATATGCCAATATTCATTTTCTTATATTTCTAATGTTATTCAGATTTGAAAGTTTAACTAGTTAAGAGCATCAATATCTACTAAAAGACAAATAGCACCAATAGGAAAGGGGATATTTTCAAATAAATTTAGACCATTGCATGGTGTGTGAATTTATAATAACACCAGAAAATATAGAAATATTTTAAACATTTAGTGTCAAATCAAATCTATGGTGGTTTAGCTAATTCCAAATAATATGTTTTCAGTATATAATTTCCACAGCATAGATCTGAAGGATTATGCTAGATTCTGAATTTACTTATTGCAATAGTTTTATCCTTAGTTTGTAAAATTTAGTTTTATCTCAAAATATTTGTTTATTTTCTTTTATTGACATCACATTCTGTTCACAATCTTACCAATTTCTGAGAGAGGTAGTTGATATTCTTTTTTCATGTCAGCCAACTTAGAAATTGTTAGGAGGAAGGAACCAAAATTCTTTTGAACTCTGTTATTGTGTTCCTTTACCACTTCAGCAAATTCCTTGGGAAGATCATCTAGAATTACCTAGGAACAATGAGACAAATGAATGTAACTATTGAAAAAGAAAAAAAGAAAGAAAGAAAGAAAGAAAGAAAGAAAGAAAGAAAGAAAGAAAGAAAGAAAGAAAGAAAGAAAGAAAGAAAGAAACAAGAGAATTATCAAAGTCTGTGAGACACAGGGTAATAATATTTTTTAAAGTCTGGTTGCAAATGTATTTATAAGTATAAATTATATTACTTATAAAAATATAAATATAAAAACTAAAATCACTTTTGATCCTACCACCCAGGAATATAGGTTATAAAGATTTTGGTATATAATATTTCCTTCCAGTCTTTTATATACAATTTTTTTTGTAGTGTTCAGGCGTTTTTGTTTTTTCTTTTTAGTCTAATTTTTATATTCAATGTTATATCTAAAGTATTTTCCTATGTCATAGAAAAGATGAATTTTGGTGGCTGCATAATATTGCCACATACAGCTTTGCTAAAATTCACCTAACCCATTCCCTTTTTGTTGGATTTATAGGTGGTATCTAGTTTTCAATTATAAATAATTATGATATGTTATGATTTGAATTGTGTCCCTCAAAAAACCATACGTTGAAGTCCTAAGCTCCAGTACTTCATCATGTAACCTTATTAGGAAATAGGCTCATTGCAGATGTAATTAGTTAAGATGAAGTCATATTAGAGTAGGATAGGCCCCTGATCCAATATGACAGGGGGAAATTTGGACTCGGAAACATTCACACAGGGAGAATGACTATGAACATAAAGGTACAAATTGGGGTGATGCGTCTACTAGCCAAGAAATGCCAAAGATTGCCAGGAAACCACCAGAAGCTAGGAGAGAGGCATGGAACAGATATCCTCTCCAGTCTTTAGAGGGAACCAACCTTATCTGGACTTGTGGCCTCCAAAACTATGAGACAGCAAATTTTAGTTAATATTTAAGCCACCCAGTTTGTGGTACTTGGTTATAACAGCCGAAAGGAAACTAATAAAATATTTTTACATCATTTTTATTTGTATTTTTGATTATATCATTCATATAAATTCCAAAAAGTAAAAACATCACATTAAAAAACATTTTTAAAGGGCCAGCCGAGTGGCTCAGTTGGTTAAGAGCTCGCTCAAGAGTGCGAGCTCTGGGCCGGCCGAGTGGCGCGATGGTTAAGAACTCGCTTGGGATGCCAGAGGGCCCCGGTTCGGATCCCACATGTGAGGGCCAGTGACACTGCCCTCCACAGCTAAGATGCTGAACAACAGCTCAACCTGGAGCTGGGCTGCCATGAGTCGCCGGCGACGGCGTGGGCTGCAGTCCCTGTGGCAGTGGATTGCAATGGGCTACCGTGTGTGGCCAGCAGCCAGCGTGAGCGGCCGTCCAGATGCCGGCGACTGATCTGCCTCGCCAGAGAAGAGCGCAATGATGGTGCCAACTTGGGCCAGTGAAGCAAGGTCCTCCACAACTAGATTGAAGAACAAAACGACAGCAACTTGCCTGTTCCCAATTCCCCAGCACTGTTCCCATCCCCCCAATTCCCCAATAAAAATCTTTAAAAAAAAAAAAAAAAAAAGAGTGCGAGCTCTGACCAACAGCAGTTTGAGTCCCCGCCCGAGCTGAGCTGCTGCTAATCTGCCAACAGGTGGCAGGATGGCTCAGCTAAAATATATATATATATATATAATTTTAAAGAATATAACTATTTACAGTCCTGTCAACATAACTGCTAATTGCAATCTTTGCCATATTAACAAGTAAACTATGTTATTGTTAATTTCCATTTTTTACTATTGGTAAGATTATTTTACATTTTATTTTCTTTATATAAGAAAACTATACATTTCATTAGGTCTATTTTGCATTTGAAGACTTAGTAAACTGTCATAAATTGTAATCACTTTTCTGTTGATTATTTGGCTTTTCAGTAGCCAGTCATTCCATCTGTAAATAACAATAATTGTTAAAATAAGAGCTAACACTTATTGAGTGCTTCCTGTGTGCTAAGCACTATTTTATGAACTTTGCACATATTAATTACTTTAATCCTCACAGCAATCCTTTGAAGTAGGTACTATTATGATTCCCAATTTACAGATAGGTAACAGGCCTGGATAAAGAAATTTGCTCAAGGCTACTTATGTGGTAGGTGGTAGAGCTGGGAAGGAGTCCAGGAATCTGGCTTTAAATTACTCTACTGTGCTTCATGTTCACTATGTTTAACTTTCCCATAGTTAGATCATATTTTTATTTCTTGCCTTTTGGCAATGAGTAGAATTCCCAGAACAATATTCTTAAATCACTGTTAAACTGAACATTCATGTCTTCTTGTTTCAAATATAAATGTTACTGTGGCAATTATTTTACCATTGAATGTGGTATTTGAGATCATCTTCAATCTAATAAAAAATCCTGTGTTACTCTCTTATGAAAACTCTCTATCAGGAATAAAGTTTTCATTTTTAAATAAGACCCAATCTTTTCCTCAGCTGAGAAGTCATTGAATATACCAAGAACTGATTGCAGAAGGATAAAGAAAGAACTCTAGTGAGTGACATCAAAACTTTGTTATTGGAAAAATACAATTGCATTGGATGTTATAATAGAAAGATTTTACAAAAAATTACAAGGTTTGGTACGTATTTTTTCTTACCACTGAATGAGGAAATCTCTTTTTCAATTTTTTCACACAGGGAGAAAGATGGTGTCTCCCAAAAAGATTTGCTAACACCATCACTAAAGTTTCCATCACATCATTAGAAAATCTCTTCGGGCCTATTTAAAAGAAAGAGTTTAATTTTTCAAAACTTTAGAGAATAAATTTCATCATTTTAGAAATGTACTGAGCCAGTTCTTAATACCTAAGCTTAAAATTTCAAGGTAAGACACATTTGAAAAAGTCATTTCCCACATGTTTGAAGAATTTTTAAAAATAAATTACAATATTACTTTATAAATATGCAGACTAATTGCTTCCTACTGACACAGATTGTTGGTAATGCCCTTCAGTTCTGAAATCACCTTGGATTCCATCGTGGGCTTCAAACCTTCCCTTTGTTGCTTCTGTTCCACTCAGTTTTTCCACCTCTCCTCAAAAGAAGGACTTACACTGCTTTTCAAATTGCTTATCCGCCATTCAAGGCAAAAGGTCAACCCACACCCACTCTCTCTTTGGCACACATTACAGTCCGAAAAGAGCTCACTACTAATACTGCTATTGACATGTCTGCTCCTGATATTTCTCTCCCTGGAATATTTATTTCCCACATTTCCATATGCCCAAATTCTTATAGTATTTTAGGGACTGAGTCTGGAGGGAAAACCTGTGACTGAATGCCAATTTTTAATCGGCCATAGTATTTAGCAGAGCTCCATGTCCACACTGATAGCCACTTCATCGCTAACTAATAAGTGAATAAGTAAATGACATCTATTCATGTGATAACTTGGGAGCTGCAATAGTGTGAAGTGACAACTGCATCATACTATCGGAGGAATGTAGAGCCTTATGAGTAAAGCTTCCAGATTTCACATAAACAAAATCCCTCAACTTGATGGGCTTATACTGATACCATTATGGCACATTATTTTCAGGTGTTTTTTACTCCTGTAATGTTGTGATACATTACTCAAAGTATTTATACAATAAGTAAAATTCAGTGATTACTTTCTATGACCCTTTCATGGAAAAGTATAGATTAATATGGATTGAAGGATTTATGATTTGCTGTATTAGTAGTTCTATGGTATATTATACAATATCATTTGCATTATTTTTTATGTCGTTTAAACCAAAGTTGGTAATTTACTGAAAATAAAATGAACACTGGAATGTTAACTTTATATTTCAGTTCCTAGCTGTCTTTATTTGAGTTTGGATCATGTCACATTGTTTCTCTCTCTAGCAAATTAAATGACATTATGCAAAAGTTACAGAAAAAAGAAAAAAAACCAATTTATTATTTAAAAAAGGAAATCATTACAGATGACATTGTGATGCCATTATATTCCTCTAGTTTATATTTGATTTTGAACTATCAGCTTCTTATTTTACTATGATACACCTAATATTAGGAGCAAAGTATAGGGATAACACAAAGAAGCCTATTTTTCATTTCAATGACCATACATAAAAAGGACAAATTAGTGATTTTACATATATTATTGCAATTTATTTCCATTTATATATATTAAAAATGCCTTGTGATTTCTGAAGAATTATATTTATTATTCTAATGGTTTATTTGTTTTAAATTTAAAGTACATTAAATGGTCATTTTGAATATTTACATTACATTACAAATACACCACGCATATATTAATATTTTTATCAACATATTCATTGATATAAAGTAAGAAACGTGTTCAAAATGCATTAAGAGAAAAAGCAGCTGGAAAATGTCACACCATCCAAAGTGAATGCAGTTATGGGGAATGTATGAATATATGTAAATACATGTGTGGTCTGTGTGTGTGTGTTTTTTTAAGTATGTGTTTGTGCACACAATTTAATGAATAAATATTTGGAAAAGCAATATTTGCTTACCTTTTACGTTCATTGGAATACACAACTTGTGAAATAAACATTTCTCCAACAAGCTTACAAAAACAAAGTTTGCAGGTTCATGGTAGTGCAAATGGGACACTAGTCCAGAATATCCGATGGGAACACATTCTTGATTCAGGTAACCCTAAAAATCAATTTAACATGTGAACCTCAGCCTCTAGATCTCAGAAATAGCAAGCAAGCAAGTTATTAATAAAGGAGATTTTAGTACAGTGAATCCAAATGTGTGTACTAACACCTTAATTTAGTGAAAATGCGTTTAAATCTTACCTCGGTGACCAAGAATTGCAAAGAATATATAAAGTAAAACTTCAACATGCACTGGATATTGGGTTTCTTGAAGGACATCAATGAATGCTGGAGAACGGATAATGCCTATAAGTACACATATCAAAATATCAAGTTAGATATTAAGCACATTTTGTAGTGTTTCTTCCAAATGTAATATCCAAATAACAACTAAACATTTCTATTTCAGAACTGGGAGCTATATATATGTACATATTACATATAATGTATGATATATTTTTACATTTTTAAATTAGGCATTGAATATTAGTTTATTATATTAATATCATTATTATATTTATTATGATTAGGTATTCCAAAATGTTTTACTATTACATGTGTGTAATAGAAAATGGTAAGAAAAACTTAGAGGGAGAGATAAATAATTACAACTTTACTCATGGCAGGTAAGAAGTAAAATAAGGTACACAAATGTAAAACCAATAATTATGAATGTTTCGGTATCTTTTACATTTCTCAACCATTAGTTATTTCCTTGAAATTTGATTTTGAAAATGTTTTTGACCAGATATAATTATATAAAAAAAGAAAAGTTTCTTTTTGAACACATACAGAGCCCAGGAATTGCTATAACAGGAAAATCATGGGCTTCATTTTCCATATGTTTGAAAGCATAAAGGTTAAAAGCATGTTTTTGCGTTGAATAAAGGTACTATAAAGTAGAATCAAATGGTACAGTGAGTTTATTTACAGCACACTGGTATTGTATTCCTTTCAGTTTATGTCATTTACATAACATTATAAAATTGAGCTTAAATTTACTAAAGCAATTTAAATCATATGAAACAGTGTACCTTTGCTTTGGCATCCTCTTTGTCATCTGCTCTGGCAACTAACAGCATAAGTCTGAGAACCAAGGTTATGCTTAGAGGAAACTGACCCTTCAGTTTCGGCACATTTGACTTTAAGAGTCTTTCTATCTTAGGTAACGGGATACCATAGAAGAACACATTTCCTATAAGATCTTCTCCACGTCTTCCTGCACGACCAGACATCTAAAGAGACAATCATATAACACTTTTAAATAATGTCGAATCTTGTCTCTGTAAATAGTTAATGTTTAACTTGCCTATACTATGTGGAACATTAAATTTTCAAAAATCTTGAAGTAGTTCTTTGTTGCTTTGTATATTAATTTTAGTAAAGTTTAAAATATTATTTTATTTTACAAATATATTACTGAAATGTGTTTGCTTTTTTTTAGCAAAACCTGTTTTAAGATAATGACTTTTAAAGGAGAAGCAATTTCTGTTTTATTTACCCATGTATTTCCAGAAACTAGTCTGAACTGAGAATATTGTACAAGTCTGGCACCTTGGGTGCTCAGAAGATATGGTTACTTCATATTATTTTTTGCTTAAGTTCAATAATATTTACCAAATCAGGAGTATTCTCAAGAAAACTAATTTATTTAGCCAGTCAATAAGTGCTCAAACTGTCTTCAAATATAATCATGTTTATACAATGTCATATACCTGGCACCATTTAAAAATATTTTGCTAGTTCCCATATGTTTTAGCATAAACCTAGTTTATCTTGGCTTACTGAATAGATGTTCCCATCCCTATGCATACAAATGTAACACAAGGCAGGTAGTATAAACACCTGTCAGAAGTTCAAGGCATCCAAGAAAACAGAATCTTCTGTAAAAACAACAGATTTACATGGCATATTAATTCCCAAAGCAAGGGAAGAGGTAGCTGTTATCACCTATGGATGGAAGATAAAACAAACTTTTGTTTAGTTTAACATAGAATACATAAATATATACATAGTCTCTAAATTTTTACTAGATTAGACCTCCTGAAATCATTTTTCTTGAATAAAGCTCCAATGGGAAGCCAATGTTATCCAAAATACAAACTCTACTACATTTTCTTTTGGGATAATGTCTCATAAACATTTGCATTCTCTTTAAGGTTTTCCTTAATATTACAATTAGCTAGCATTTTCAGGTTGCAAAATGATGTGAAGTCATAGCAATTCAGTAAGATTTTAATTTTTTTGTATAAATAAAGCAATAGGTTGAAAAAGGAGTATTACTTTACATTAAAATATTACTAAGAAAACAGTAAGGGATAAACTCAGAGGAAGAGCAGGAACCAGGTGACATCAAGCATTAAAAAACATTTCTCTAAGGAGTTTAGATTTTAAGAGAAAGGGGAGTAACATGATATAATTAATATTTATAAAATTGATTTGGTTGGTCTGTGAATCTATTTTCTCAGAGTGTTTTTAATGTGCTTTACCATTAATACTGTTTGCTTATACAATATAGTAAATACTACAACATATAAAGTAAAACTGGCAGAACTGAAAAGAGAAATGGAAACATTTGGGGCGGCCAGTTAGCTCGCTTGGTTAGAGCGTGGGCTCATAAAACCAAAGTTGCCTGTTTGATCCCCACATGGGCCACTGAGCTGTGCCCTCCACAACTAGATTGAAGCAATGGCTTGACTTGGTGCTGATGGGTCCTAGAAAAATAACACTGTTCCCCAATAAAAAAAAATTAAAAATTTAAAAAAGATTTGTTTGAGAATTATAAGTTAAAAAAAAGAAATGGAAAAATTTATATTAAAAGGAAGAGATATTAACATTTTCTATTCTCAATAATTCTACTCTCAACAATTGATAAAAGATAAAAAATTTACCAATAATAGATTTAAATTAAGAAGCCTCACAGAACACTGAAACCAGGATATACAGAACACATATTTTAATGCATGTATAGAACATAGTTCTAAATAAACTCTATGTTTTAGAACCGTTTCAGATTTATATAAATTTGTGATGATAGTACAGAGTTCCTATACTTTGCATTCAAGTTCCCCTATTCTTAACATCTTAAATTTGTACTGTACATTGTTACAATTAGTGAAAAAGTATCCATACATTATTAACCAAAGTTCACACTTTTTTCAGATACCCTTAGTGTTTACCGAATGTCTTTTTTCTGGATCTACCCAGGGTATCACATTACATTCAGATAGACATGTCTCTTTTGGCTCTTCTTGGTTGTAATAGTTTTTCAGGCTTGTCTGAAAGAAGTCAGGGCTCTTTAAAGACAATGACTCACTCTAAGACTGAGGCAAGAAATATACAAGATGAGGGAGCATCCTACTTTGCCATCAAGTACGGAAGTGCTCAAAAACAACAACATTCACAACAATGGAATCATGATAAAGGGATTCAGGAAGCAAGTGAAAGAGCTCCCAACGGTCATAACTGGGACAATCTGAGCAAGAAAATAGGTAAAGTAGCACCAAATTGTAATTCAAAGCATAAGATAAATATCCATGCATCCATACTGATATAAACATATGTTGGATACATAAATAAATGAGGAAAAAGAGACACAGTTCTTGTACAGGATTCTAAATAATTTATGTAGATACTCCAACTAGAAAGAGGTGAAGTGTAATTGAACAACCTACTCCTTAAGTTTGGGCTGTGCATAGTGACTTCCTTCCAAGGAGGACAGTATGGAAAGTGGGAATAAAAGGTAAGGGTATAGTGGAGAAGCCTAACAAATACAACCCCATCCAAGTGGTCAAGACTAACATCAATAGTGATAAGCATGTCCATAGTCTATAACCCTGATATGATCTGATGAGAATAACATGTTACTCCTGTGGTGCTCCTTCAAGAAACACATAGTTCCCATCTAATCATGAGAAAACATCGTAAAAATCTCAACTGAGTCATATTCTACAAAATATAATAGCTGATCAACTATCCTCACAACCATTAAGACCTTCAAAAACAAGGCAAATCTGAGAAACGGTCACAGCCAGAGATCTGACAAATAAATGTAATATTGTATCCTGGATGGGATCATGGACCAGAAAAATGATATTAGGGGAATAGCTGAGGAAATATGAATAAAGAATGGACTTTAGTTAATAAAAATTTTCTCAACATTGGTTTGTTAATTATAACAAAGTTACCATACTAATTTAAGATGCTAATAATATTGGAAATTGAGCTCATAGTATATAAGGTACTTTCTATACTATATTCAGAACTCCAGTTTTTAACCACAATACTTAAAATTTGTCAAGGTGAAGTAAACAAATAAAGTCATTCTGGAAAGAAATGTAGCAATATATTTCTAGAGCCTGAAAATCACTTTTGGTCTTTGAAACAGTTATTTCACTTTGCAGTCAATTGGTCCCATCGACAATCAGAAATGATGGTATATGTTTATAAACAAAAAATTTCAACAGTAGCAGAATGTTTAAATAAATTATATAAGTGTATATTATGATGCACTCATAATGCTAATTAATAATTGGCTTAAATATAAACTATTAGGCAAAGTAGACAGGATCCCAAGTTGCATATACATTATATATTAACTATGTAAAACTATTTAAAAGAACAGATTATATTGTGCTAAAATGTTAGCAGAACATCCCGCCAAGTGGAGGGATTATGGGACACAGATAGAGTGATTTCCCTACACGCTGACAGGGTACATTTCTTCTTCCTCCTCAGTCCAAAGGAATGAAGGTGCTGCTTTTAGAAAAATTACCCTTGAAGTTCACCAACCTTGATGTGCTTCAGTCTGAAAAGCATCTCTACAACTTGTCTGTGTTTATATTCCATTGAACCGTGATGATATCCAATGCCCCGCCTTAACAGACCATGCAGTCTGTAGCTTTGCCTCGTTCCTCTCAGTCTGTGTAAGATCTTTGTTAAAGTCTGAAATACCCAAAGAGTTCACAATATCATATTAAAGCATTTATCCTTCAACTTAACAATGTTATGTGTTAAAAGATTGTTTAGAAATCAATGCACAGTTGGACACACTTCTGAAGAGTAGTTGTGTTTTAGGACAGCATCCAGTTTATTTAAACTACACTATATGGTATTTAAGTAGAATAGTTTCATAGTTCCTGACATTTGAAGCCTGATTTTTGATACAGACAAATGCAACCCAACCTTATATGTGGTGATTCTTTCTTCATCCATTTCCTCATCAGGAATATGCACCCATTTTCTTCCCTATACCCACAGAGTGGTTGAGGCTTAACCTTTCTACCAGAGTGTTTAATCACTGGCTGTAGCTCTAATGGACTGAACTAAGGGCTTCACATCAGCCTGGGGTAATAAGGAAACACTAAAGAGAAAGGACAAGAGATAGGTGAGGGACCAGAGTGCCCTAAGTCTGATACCAAAACCCTTCTCTACTGAAACTCTCAACTTAGTCTGATTTTCTACCATCTCTGTTTTGTTCTATTTTTGCTGTTGATTCAAATCCAACTTATTTTTTTTCATCACCACCATGATTTTCATCATGTCTGACCAGCTGATATGTTGTTTGTTTTCTCTCTCACTATCTTTCACTGTATCTTCCTGTCTATCTTTTCTGTGTGTTATCTTTGTGTCTCTCACTTCCTGTTTCCTCTGCTCTTTTTCCAC